GCAGGAAAATAAATTTAGAGCCCTACTTCATCACAGACACATTCCCTATTGATTCAAGACTTAAATGTGAAAGCAATATTGTAAGGGTATTGGACAAAAATAAAGAACATGCCTTTACGAATTATCATTGACTACTTCCGACATACGAAAAGGTTTAAAGAAGACTTTGATGAGCATCCATGTTCTCACCATAACCTGAGAAATAAAACATTATAGAGTTGAACCCCAAAGTTTAGAGAAAGATAATATACACAGTGCTACAGAAGCACAGAGAATACCAATTCAGACAGGGCTCAGGAGAGCCCAGTCATGAAATATGGGTAAAGGTTTTTTAGATAGAGAAAACAGTACATCCAAAGGCAGAGAGGCTGTTGAGTTACATATGAGCTCTACAACATCTTTAACTCCAATTGTCAAATAAGGATTACTAATAGCAAAATCCCAGAGCATGCCAGTTCACCAAACAGAGCTCTATTATCTGAAACAAAGCTCTGAAGACTTTACTTTGTGCTGGGGAGGGGGAGAAGGGCGTAGAGGTCCAAGAGGTAGGAGTGTACATAAAACAGAACATCTGAAGAAAAACAATTGTGCATAAGGCACCAATATGATATGCACTATTCAGAAGTAATGATGAAACCAATTTACCCTAGAGTGAAGGATAAAAATGCTTAGTTTGAGTACAGAAAGTAAAATTTTGGAGATAGAATATTCAAATTTTAACAGGGAGGTCAGCTTTATTGTATGAAAGGAATGTAGCTCATGCTCTGGGTATGTTTACCTGCAGCTTTAAAGCAGTAATCCATACTCCAGTCATATTTTAACAGATGGAGCTCTCTTCTTCATGCTCAGTTAGCTAACTTATTTCTCACTGAATCTCAGTAAGATATACCAGATAGGCACCGAATGAAAGAGATTGCAACCATTATAATAACAATCACACAAGTTTCTCAGCATTTCACATTTTTTGCTGTACTTCTTGAATTTCTCACATCCCCTGGTTTTTATGTAACCCTATCACGTGGTTGAACTCTTTCCTTTACCCACTTTCCTGTCTCCTGTACTAAATTCCCTGCCAATTTTTATCTCCTGGCTATGAATGTACCTCCAAAATAAAGTATCTGACTTCTACTCTTCTTTTTAGATAGTAATTTCTTTAGAGACACATGACTTCAACCATCACCTTCAAAGAAAATAATTTCAAGAATTCCATCTTGGACTTTTCTTTTAATTCCAGCTACCTGATATCTTCTTGAATATTCTGCCTCTGAATCAAATAAAGTTAACAGATCTAAAAACAATACACACACATGCATGAACACATATATACATAAATGCACACTTTTTAATCACAGCATTTTTTCCCACCTAAAAACAATTTACTCTCTTGAAGTCAATGAGGTCCATCTTTGATGCTTACCTTTCCCTTATATTCTACCTTTTCCCAGTCACAAATTTTATCCAGTCCTTTTTCACAATGTTTTTCTCATCTGTCCCTTCTTTCCTACCTCCTACCATCACCAATCTAATTTAGGTGTTGATTACCTCACTACTTGCCTTCCTGCTTCCAGTCTCTCCTCCCTCCATGTCATTCTGAACATTATTGGTAGATGAATCTTTCTAAAACACTACTTTAAATCCGCCACTCTTTTCCTCAAAGGCTTTTGAAAGGGTCAATAATAATGCCAAATATTTTAGGCATTCAAGGACCTAAAATTTTGGCTCCAACTTACTGGTCCAATCTATCTTCTCCAACATTCAAGTTTCTCTCTCTCCTAAAAATATCCTTTCCTCAGATCTTCTCCCTCAAGTAACAACACTGCAAAACTTTTAGAAAGAATAGCCAACAATCTACTCCCATACGCTGAAATTATTTTTGTAGTTTCCCAATTGCAAAGTAAATATTTAAGCTCCTCGCTTTATTTGACCTCACCATGTCATTTACAATTTGGTCTCACCTTTCATCATTCCCTACTACTCATCCCTACAGACTCTATGTTCAAGCCACAGCAAACTACTAGACTTTTTCTAACACACCTTGTTCTTTTGTAGTTTGTGGTTCTCCATACTATTCCCTGCCTTTAGAATGCCTTTCTGGGACTCTGCTGTATGCTATTAACCACTTAAGAGCCAGATGAACAACATCTCTTCTGGAATTTCTCCCCACTACTACAAACATCTTTGCTCCCAACGTGCCTGTAGTACATAGTTGCCTAACAGGATTCATACCACCGCACTGTGATTATTTGTTTATATGTTTTGATCATCTAACATACACTATGAGGCACACAGCAGACACTTAAAAGTGGGTTTTAAAAGACCTTCTGCTATGGCCATATTATTCTACTGTCACGCAAGTATACTATACAAAGAAGTAGTATGTATCATGGTTAAGAGCTCAGATTCTGAAGCCAGGTTATCTAAGTATGTCTTCTGGCTCCAACACTTATTAGTCATGTGACACTGGACAAGTTAATAACCTCTCTGTGCCTTAGTTTTCCATGTGTAAAAAGAGGACAAGAAAAACACCTGCCCTGTAAGGTTATGAGGATTAAATGAACTAACATAGGTAAAGTGCTCAGAACAGTGACTGGCACAAAATAAGCATTAAATATGTAGTAACTGTTATAACTAATATACCTTGCTTATTTCTGACCTTTTCCACACGCTAATCCTCTATTTGGAATGGACAACCTTCATTTTTTCACTTATCCAAATCTTACCCAGGTTTCAAGGCTTACCTCTGGTAAAACCTTTGACCATTCCAATCTATAAGTGATCATTCCCTAATTTAAATTTCTATAGCACTTTTCTGTATCACTCTGCATTTAATTAAAACTTCTTGCACCTTTGTAATTTCTCATGCATACGACTGTCAACCCAATTTCTATAAACTCACTGAAGGTCCTGACGAAACCTCATGCATCTTTGTGAGTTCCTATAGCCAGTGGTTAAATGCTTAATATTTGCTGTATAAAATAATAAAACTCAGCAGAAACCTCAACTCTGATCATACTGCCTTTACAATCAAAGAAGTGGAGAAGCTTGTGAGCTTCTCTAGGCACCAGGCTGCAAATGTATTAGGGCCAGGGAATTCTCTCATTACAATGAGGAATTCTGATACAGTTTCTGAGAGAAAAAAATCCTTCCTACCACTGTAGGAATTATGGGTAGACCTTAAGTTCCCAAACCAAGTTGTAGAGTGGATTCTCTATCAGAAATGTGTCAGCATGACAAAATGATTGAGAGCACAGGATATGGAGTCACACAGATCTAGATTTCACAGGGACCCTACGCTTCAGTTTCCTTGTCTATAAAGTGGGTATGGTAACACCTACTTCATGGGTATATTACAATCAAAATTCACGCCAACATTTAACTGAGGTGCAAATTTCTTTGGGAAAAGATTTAAATAAACTGAAAACACTGCAATTCATAAATAAAAATGAGAACACAATACAATTTTAGTGACATAAGAGAATGTTGTATTAAATTAGCTGGTAGTATTTATAATTCTTTTAATTACCAATAAGAAAATTAAATACATGCCATATTGTTAATAATACAGACGAGATCACTGCAAAGTTTCTGACACTTTCTCTTTCCTGTTCAAAATTACTCCAAAAGAAATATATTTTAAAGAGCACGAATGGTTTTAACTTAATATCAAGTTGGTTCTAAAAATGTAACCTTCCAGTTTATTATTCAAATATACCTCTAAGCAGAAATTAACATGAATTGATGAAATTAAGAATTATTTGGCCAACAGCTCACAGAATGATCTGAGTCAGTAATTTCAAATTAAGAGTTGTTCAAACTCGAAATTGGCAGTCACACACAGTGTAAAGGGTTTGTTTACAGCACTGACAAGAAAACACTGACAAGACCAATCTTTTAGAAGATTTATCCAGGTAGTTTAATAATAATTATTTTAAAGCAACGTAATTGCTGAAATGCTCAATGCTACACAAATTAAACCAAAATGGATTTCTCCTTAAGGAACAAATAATAGGAAAGAACAAAAGTTGCAAGTGTTATTTTTAACCTGGGATATTTTCCAGTTTGGTGTTAGGAATAAAATGCCGCTCAACCACTGAAAAACAGCCTTGATGCTTGGAATAACCTTTAAACGTGTGTGTGTGTGTGTGTGTGTGTCTGTGTGTGTCTGTGTGTGTCTGTGTGTGTGTGTGCGCGCGCGCGCGATTTTAAAGGCAGACGGATTTGTTGCCTTTAGCGTGCACCCTTAGGATACAACAGTGTGTAGGATTACTTAAGAATGACACATATGCGAGATCAGAAGAAGAAAAGAAACATTAGTTGAAATACAAGCATTGTGAACTTTGAACAATGTTGAAACGCTACACTAGGAGGCTGAAAAGATGGTTTTGGGTAAGGGTAATTAACCTCCGGGTAGAAACCGAAGGGTCAAGTGTGGGGCTGGTGGAATTTAAGAGACAGAAAGGGGGAGTGGGAGGAAGTGGGGACGTGGTAACCAAACGGGGCCCTGGTGGCGCAGTGGTTAAGAACTACGGCAAGCAGTTCGAATCTACCAGCTGTTCCTTGGATACCCTATGGGGCAGTTGTACTCTGCCCTATAGGGTCGCTATGTGTCGGAATCGACTCGATGGGAACGGGTTTGGTTTTCACAGGTTTGCTAACCAAACAGGGTTTATGGTTCAGAAGAGATTTTTCTTTTGGAGGGTAGTGGGGAAGACGGGATCTTAGATGAAGGGTGTGTGTGTGTGATTAAAGGTTTATACTTAGTGTTGAGAAAAAGAGGTGACAAAGTTGGGGAGGTGGAATTCGGAGGTATGGGAGCAGGGAGAGGAAGGAATGCGGGGATTTCCAGGCTGAGGCTGACAAGCTTGGGGCGCGCGCTGTTGGTGCGCCCCTCTCTCGGGAAGAGTGGCCCCTCTACTGTCAGGTCCGCTAGCCCGTCCGCCTCGACAGAACCTTGGCCCTCCCGCTACACAGGCCCTCCTCGGGCTCCGGGCCCTCCTCACCTCAGGCCGCTATGCCACGATCCTCCGCGCCTCCACGGCGCCCGTCTCCCTCAGCGCCGGTCCAGGCTGGAACCGTCGGCCGGGCGGGCGCGGCTACCCCACCTCTGCTGCGCCCGGGCGGCCTCGGCGCGGCTCCGCGGGCCTCTCGGGTCCTTGCCCGGCTCCAGCTCTCCCCGAAGACACCGCGCGAGTCCTCCCCTCGCGGCTGGGAGAGGAGCCACTCTGGCCCCGCCCCACGGCTCCCCAGCGGAGTTCGCCCCCGGGCTCGGGGCCTTCGCGCTGATTGGCCCCTGGGAGACTCGGCGCGCCCCGGCATTGGCTCAGAGGCCAGCCGACCAGGAGGGGGCGGGACACCAGGGGGCTGAGATTCCCGTAACGAGGCTCCTGGCGTCCGGGATTCCGGTGGCTGAGCCCGCGTCGTCTCTCCCAGACAAGATCGAAGGACTCCCCCCAGCTCCCCTCTGCTGGCGGAGGGGTGGGTGGGTGGAATGTTCCACTTTTCGTGGAATAAGGGGGTCGTGAGCGGAGGCCTCGGTGCCGCTCGTGCCTTCCGCACTCCTCGCTCGCCTCGGCGTCTTGGCTTTGCTTCGCGGCCTTCCCTTGGGGCTCAGAGCCGCTAGGAACCGCTGGGCTCCCTTGGGGGCGAGAGGAGCGTGGGAGCGCCTCAGGGAAAGTGAAGGGCTCGGTGGTCGTGACTCCGCACGATATTGCCACAGATTATGGCGGCGGTTTTGGTCCAAGTCTCACGTAAACGAACCTTGTAATACCACAATACATATATGTTAAGTAAGTGAATGAGTTTGGGTGTCATTGATCAGTGAACCCCAGAGTTGGTGACCTGCCAAGAAACTAGATTTTCTTTGCAGTTTGTACCTCTCAATCTATGATAAAAATACTGAGTAAAGACCAATTTCATTATAATTCACCCCTTCCCACTTCAAAGCCTGGAAGATAAACCTCCAGGCTCACTTTGGTATATATATTTTTCTAAAACATAATTAAAAGCTTTTAAAAATAATACTGTGTGTATATGTGTGTGTAAAACACATCCAAGGCCAAGGCCTTTTGTGGAAGAATGGCAGGCAATAGTGGTTTAACGGACGTGAAGAAATTATGCCCGTAAATTAACAATTATAAGGTCCCTCATTATTGAGGATTCAGATAAACTAAAACAGATCAAATTATTATCTCTTAGTTGTCAATCAGGTAATTTTCATGACACAGCAAAATGGGTCTACTATGTGTCCAGAATAAATGAGGCCCGGGCAAACCAGAGGATAGTGTTGGTGGAAGAACAAAACTCTATCCTGTTGAGCTCTTGCTGCCCCTGTCACGCTATATCAGAACTGCAGACTGTGACCCCGTGAATTCTAGCTTTTCCACTTGTTAGGTGCTGTGGAGTCGGTTCTGACTAATAGACCCTGTATACAACAGAGCGAAACACTGCTGGGTCCTGCACATCCTCACAATCGTTGCTATTCTCGAGCCCATGTTGCAGCCTCTATGTCAATCCAGCTCGTTGAGGGTCTTCCTCTCTTTCGCTTATTAGGGGTGTTTATGTTAAAGCAAACTTGTAAAACTTTGTTAGATTAAAAAATTTATCTAAATCCAAAGCGGCAATGTCTAGTGGTTAAGTGTACCCTCTGGTCCACACTTCCTGGATTTGAATCTTGATGCATGCTGCTACTTCCTATCTCTGTGACCTTGGGCAAGTCTTTTTAGCCTTCTCAGCTGCAAAATGAGAATAATGGTACCAATCCAATAAGTCTGTTGAAAGGATTGAATGAGTTAAAATACATGAAGTGCTTGGCACGTAGTGTCAGCTGCTGCTGAGTCGATTCTGACTCATGGAGACTCCATGTGTGTCAAAGTAGAACTTGTGTTCCAAACGGTTTTCAATAACTGCTGTTTGGAAATAGATCATCAGGCCTTTCTTCCAAGATGCCTGTGGGTGGACTTGAACTTCTAATCTTTCGATTAGCAGCGAAGCGTGTTAACCATTTGTATCACTCTCAGACCACCTGCCACATACCCGCTGCCTTCGAGTTGATTCCAACTCATAGCGACCCTGTAGAACAGAGGAGAACTGCTCCATACGGTTTCCAAGGAGTGCCTGGTGGATTCGAACTGCTGACCTTTTGGTTAGCAGCCGTAGCTCTTAACCACTATGCCACCAGGATTTCCACCTGGCACATAGTAAATACTAAATGTCAGCTATTACCATTACTGAATCCTACTATGTCAGTGCTTTCCAAACCTTTTAGCATCACAGCATATATTGAAAATGATAATATTTCTGTGGCACAGGGGGTTGATAGCAGGGACTCAATAACTCACAGCACACTAACCTGCCTTGACACATTGATCAGGAAAGCAAAGGACTGAGTTAGCCCTTTTGTGGATATTTTTGTAATTGGCTCAGCTCAGCCCCTCCCCCTAAGAAACTCACATTTTGTAGGGGTGGTCAAAGTCCCAGGCTAAAGGGGTGAACCAACATCAGAGAAAGATTTTTCAGGACGATAGGAGACCTTCCCTACTCTGCTGAAATTACATGACTGTACAGCAGGGCTTCGATTCCAGTTTGAACCCCTGCTGAGAATTTGCAGTTCTAACAAGTTCCCAGGAAATTATACATAAGAATCACCTGGGGGATCTTGTTAAAATATAAATTCTGATTCAGTATATCTGGGAGTGGAAATGCAGATTCTCAACAGGGAACTTGTTAGAAATCTGGAACAAACTGGTTTAAAGGCCTGCTTTGGGGACACCTTCACAGGATATTGGCCCAGCAGTGACAACTTTTAGGTTAAGGATTTGTCACTAGAAAGCCCTATTGAAATGCAAATGTAAGTGGAGGAAAGTGACATATCAATTGGGAAGCTCCTATAAATGCCCTCGGGTCATTCGGCGGTTTTAGATATGTCAGAAGCAGGGAGTGGTTACATCAGCAACCCACAGTTGTAGCCACACCTTCAACCTATTCATTAGATGAAATTACTCCACCTCCATGATTTCGAGTTGTAAATATCCCTCTCTGTACCCACAGCCTCGTAGTGACCCTATAGGACAGAGGGACAGAGTAGAACTGCCCCATTGAGTTTCCAAGGAGCACCTGGTGGATTCGAACTGCTGACCTTCTGGTTAGCAGCTGTAGCTCTTAACCATTATGGTTGCTATGAGTTGAAATCAACTCCACAGCAATGGGTTTTGTTTTTGTTTTTTACCCACAGCCACCTACCCCTCTAACTCTCCTATACCTTCACTCTCATTAAATCTGCAGTTTGTCCTCAGTGTGACCTCTAGAATTTGTTCTCAGAGTTGATCAGTTATTACCTTCTCTTATCTTCTTAAACTGTTGGAACCCTCTTATCAACCATTTTAATTTCACTCTCACTAAACCAAAAAATCAAATCATCAAGTCAGTTCCGACTCATAGTGATCCTATAGGACAGAATAGAACTGGCCCATAAGGTTTCCAAGGCTGTAAATCTTTTATAGAAGCAGACTGCCACATCTTTCTCCCATGGAGCAGCTGGTGGGTTCAAACCACCGACCTTTTGGTTAGGAGCTTTAACCACTGCACCACCAGAGCTCTTTCATTCTCACTAGTATCTTCAATTCCCTCGACCTTCAACCATGTTTATCTTGTCAATTCTATTTCCTACTACATTCTTTTATTTTTCCAAATTATTTCCCTTTTCCTTGAACTACCAGCCCCACCCCAACATTTAGTCTTAGTACAGAACATAGTTTCATTATTTCCTGGAAAAATCAAGACTATCCCTTGTGAGCGTTCTCAACATTTCTCCAATTTTGTTGTTGTTGTGTGCTCTCTAATTGATTCTGACTCACAGCAACCCTATAGAACAGAGCAGAACCGCCCCCTAGGGTTTTCTAGGCTGGAATCCTTATGGGAGCAGATCACCAGGTCTTTTCCCCCTCTGAGCCCCTGGTAGGTTGAGACTGCAGCCCTTTCAGTCAGCAGCCGAGCGCCTAACCACTGCGTCATCAGGACTCTTTCTTCTCCACCTGAAGAGGCAACTAGATATTAATCTTTTCGTCTTTCCCCCTGCCTCAGAGGAAGAAAGGCCCCTATTCTTGTAAAAGGTTAACTCTCCTTCTATGTTCTTGGTCCCACTCCCACTAAGTTCAACCCACTCGTTTTACGTTTCTCATTATTAGCATTAAATACCTTAGAAAATTTAAAAAAAAATTAACTCAATGGAGAGTTAGAGAGAGCTTCTCTGTATATAATAAAACCTCTATAACCTAATAGCATACTAACTAATTAAAAGTAATTAATTAAATATAAGTCTCAAAATGAAACAGTTAAAGCCACATTGTAATCCACTTAATAAAATGAATTTGGGATGAATATGAATCTAAATCAAGTTATAGCTAAATTTATAAGCTTGTTGTTGTTAGTTGCTGTCAAGTCGATTCTGACTCATGGTGACCACATGTATGCAAAGTAGAACTATTCCACTGGGTTTTCAAATTGCCAGATCTGTCTTCCAAGGTGCCTGTAGGTGGGTTTGAAACATCAACCTTTCGGTTCATAGTTGAGGGCTTAACTGTTCGCACCACCTAGGAACTCTAATTTCCAAGCTAGAAAGCAGGAAAGATTTATTTCATGCAACAAAGTAGCAATAGTTTTTTGACTGCCATTTAGAAAACTTTCTGAAGAATAATATATATTCAGAAAAATGAATATATCGTAAGAGTACAGCTTGATACATTTTCATAAACACACCCATGTAACTAGCATCTAGATCAAGAAACAGAACATGACCAGCCCTCTAGAAGCCCCCTCCTACTCTGCTCTAGTTATTCCCCCTGCCATAGGTGACCACTCTTTTGACTTCAAAAGGCATAGTTTTATGACTATCATTTTAAAAATGAGAAGTAAATGGAAATTTCTTAATGTTATTAATATTAGCATATTTTATTTCATTTTAATGACTAATTAGAGTAAGTGAGTTTGAAACGAAGTAAGTACTGTTCTGTATAAAGGCTATGCAGATTGAAGAGGAGGGGGTCTAGCTTCTCATTTCTCTGAACCTCTGGGAAACCTTATCAAATGGCCATGCACTGGTCAATGACCATACGTTACCCTGCCTCATAGGGCAATTTGGCTGCAGAAAAGAAAAGTGCAGAAGTTTAAACAGAGTTAGGTGCATCCTATTCCTGACACATACATCTATAA